ATATGACAGTGCCGAGCCCAGCCAAGACAGATATTTGTTTTGCTTATTTTTATATACCTATAATATCTCTCACTGAAAATTACAGCAATTTAAACACCTTTTCTTCTTCTAGCTACAGCCAGGATTGATTTGTCTCCACTTGGAGAGATGTCTGATTATGACATCCTCCTTTGATGGATTTGTATTTTTTTTAATAATGGGTAAAATCCGGACTCCACATCCAACGCAATGTATGCTGCCAATCATATTTAAGACTATCTGAAAACACTCTCAAAAATATAGTGTGTATGGTTGCAGCAAGCACTTGCAGAGACAAGTCTTTCATCCATATGGTGAGAAGGTGAATGCCTTGGCACATGGAAGACACCCGCGCGCCAATCTATCTTGCTGTAAAGTTGATATCCGCTAACTACTAAAACTCAACATGCAAGTGCGTCACATCATCACCCACTAGCAATTATTATCTAGAGTATTTCACATCCATGCAAGTGTGCCACATCATCACTCATTAGCAATTATTATCTAGAGTATTTTAAATATCATAAAAACATGATATATCATTTACAGTTTTGTTGTATTTTTAAAACTCAATATGTAATCGATGTCAAATCATTATCGCCACATTATTTTCACATTATTTAAACATGTACATCTATCATTTCTATAATGTATAACATGTATTCATCCATATATCCCGCGGCAAAGCGCGGAGTATCATTCCATGTGAAGTAGCTAAAGGTGGAATAGGACGCACCCCTGGTCCCGAAGAACTCAGCATCTCTGGGCTCAAGCGACTTAATTGGCTTTCATACTGATGTTCCAGCTCCAGATATGGGAACCAACTCTCAGGTTATTTAGCTTTTCATATCGATCCTCTCATTCATGACTCTGTTATCTTCGGACTAAGATGCGGATTTTACCACGATTCTCGTTAGCATGTTTTTTAACCTGCTAAACGGTATATTTTGTGTGAAAACTTTTTTTATTAAAATATAAAATATATCATTTTTTAAGTTTTTAATAATTAAAACTTAAATTACGCAAACAGAATTGATAGAAAAACTTTCGCAAGTTTTTTACCCCTGAAACTTTTAGATTTATGGCCATCGGATTACCTCGAGATTTATGCATGAAGGGAAAAAAATGCTAGAGAAGATTTTTACACGTCACGCGTAAGATCCCGATGCTGGCCAACCAAATTATAGTTGAATACAAGTTTTATACTCACTTCGTCCCACTTACTTAAGACGCGGTCAAACTTAGCACAATCTTCAAGACTAATCTTTAACTTTAAATTTCTCACATACTATAATATTTATAGCAACAAAATCATAATCATATGAAAGTAAATTTAAATGATAACTCAATTATATTATTTTCATCAAATAAAATTTAAATTATAATAAACTATTTATTATATTTAAAGAGTTGAATCTTAAAATGCATGTGCGCGTTACTGAGTGGGATGAAGGGGGTATAAGATGAAGGGGGTATAAGGTATATCGTAGTTATAATGCAATTACAATACAGTTAATTATATTATGCTCAAAAAACTTGTGTAGTTTTTTTCTTATACTCCCCTAGTTTCTTCTATGCAAGAAGCAAACATAGGCAGTGTTTAGTTCCCTTTAAACTTTCAAAAATTCCGTCACATTAAATGTTTGGACACAAGCATGGAGCGTTAAATGTGGACGAAAAAAAACCAATTGCACAGTTTGCATGTAAATTGTGAGACGAATCTTTTGAGCCTATTACGCCACGATTTGACAATGCGATGCTACAGTAAGTATTTACTAATGATGAATTAATTAGGCTTAATAAATTCGTCTTGCAGTTTACAGACGGAATCTGTAATTTGTTTTGTTATTAGTGTATGTTTAATAAGGGGCGAAGGTACATAGGCTGAGGGGGGTGTACAGGAACCCCTGTATTTCTGTTTTTGCTACATGTGCACCCACCTCATCTCAGTTACGTGCACCCCCGACGACTGGCCAGACGGCGGGACGAGCGCACGACCGCAAGGCCAGTTGGTCGCATGAGCCTACTGCTTTGTTATTTTGTTTTTTTACCAATCATGTCTATCGCCAATTCGCCAGTACATGCTTATATTGATTGGATAGAGAGGAGGGCATATAACTTCCTCATCTTATTTCTTCAATTTGTCTGATTTCTTCACATCAAATCTTAAAGTTTAAATATAGAATTTAATTTTGTTACTATTTTAATGTTTCTAGATAGTATTTTAGGATTTAATCAAATTAAATTGTTTTACTGGGATTAGGAAAATGGAGCAGTATTGTAGATCGATCCAAAGTACTAATATTTTTTATTGAGCCCCCTTCACTTTACATTTTAATGTAAGAAATTCTAATCATATCTTCATTATACACTTAACCATCATCTAGTATGATGTTTAATAGTTGATAGTTTATCGTTATCTTATATAGCATGGCTTCAAAATTTCGTGTGCCACTATATGTACGGTTGAGGTGGTGCACCCCCTTCAATTTGTTCTAGCTTCGCCACTTTAATACTTCAAATGTGTGTTCCTATACTTACAAAAATTTTAGCACACGAACTAAATACGGTCATAATTTATTTGCAAATAGCAACCCTAACATCATACGTACAGATCAGAGAATAGCATAGTATACTCGTCCCATCGCGCGCCACACGGCCGGCGACGAGTCGACGACGTCGTCCTTGCAGCCGCGCCGGGAGTCGCACTCGTCCACCACCGTCGCCTCCACGGCGCCGCCACCACCCGTGATGCGGACCTTCCTATGGCTCTCATTAAGACAAAACTAGAGTAAATACCAGATATATAGTTGCCCGTCCTGAATGACACTGACTGTGTGTGCCAATCCGGCAAGGCCGTGCTCAGCCAAGAAAAGAAACATTGTTTTGCTAATTTTTCTATCTAATATTTCTCACTCAAAATTAATTAAACATATGTAATTTCTGCTTCCAGCTAGAGACAGTCAATAGCCAGGAGTATTAATTTGTCTCGACTTTGAAATGACAATAACACTATGATGCTGGATGCATGCATGATCACATCATAATAATCACTCTATCCGTCTTAAAATATAAGCATTTTAGCATAGTACAAGTCAAATATTTTCAGCTTTAACTATTAATAATTAAAAAAAGAAAGATCAATCATGTAAAATTGATGTTACTAGATTTATTATTAAACAAACTATCATAATATGCAACTCTTTTTATTTAAAATATCTTACTTTTATAGATATAATTGGTCAAAGTAGCATCTTGAAGATCATGTCAGAGTTAAAAAAATTATATTTTAGGACGGAGGGGTAGTAATTAGCACTACTAGGTAGGGAACTACTATACTGTACTACTCCCTCCGTTTCATAATATAAGACTTTCTAGCATTGCATATATTCATATAGATATTAATGAATCTAGACACACATATATGTTTAGATTCATTAACATTTATATGAATGTGGGTAATGCTCGAAAGTTTTACATTATGAAACGGATAAACTAGTATATAGCTGGATCACAAAGATACTGCAAGTTAAGAAAACACATGTCTGTAAATTATTAAGGGTATATTTTTTTTCTTATCTTTATTAACTTCTACTCGCTATTTTTTTCACACGCACACTTTCTGAACTATTAAACGATACTTTTTTATAAACAACCTCAATAGAAAAGTTGCTTTAAAAAATCATATTAATCTATTTTTAATTTTTTTAAGGTAATGTTTAATTAATAATGAGTATAGGAAGGAGAAGTTCCAACTCCTCTTCTCGAAGCCGTCATCAAACTCTGTTCTTGCTTAGATTGTAAGTTTCCTCCTATTCCTCCTCAAGCTTCCTCTTCCTTCAATTGATCAGTTCCACCTTGTCGTCGCCTCGTCAGTGAATTCCCATTCCTCCTCGTTCTCTTCGTCGTCGTTGGAGGATGTTGGAAGCGAATTTCACCTCCTTGTCAAAAGCAGCGGAGAGTCTGGCTTCTGAATCAGGGTCCAAGCCGATTCTAACTTTTGAGCTTGAGTTGAGAGATCGGGCTTAGGGTCGCACACGTCATGTAGGCGATAATCGAGCTCATCCACCGAGATCCAGGCTCATCTCAATGTCATCACTCACCAGCTTCGTCTTCTTCCTACTCTTCCCGTCCTCTGCCTCCATCTCCTCCTTCACCTTGTCGCTGGGCTTAGGCTTGGGCCTGGGCCTATGCCTCTTCTCCTTCTTCTTCGTCGTCTTCTCCGATCCCCTCCCTCCCCCCTCGAACCCTTCTCGGGCTTGGGATTAGAGCACGGGCACATGGTGACCTCGCTGCGCGGCGAAAGGCCTCACCACCCCGTCGATCTCCAACGCCACCGCTGTCGCCCACTCGCCCTAACCTCATTCTCTTTCTCGAGAGGATTCGATATGGTAATAATGAAATGGGAGTAGAGGGGCCTTATGCGGAAAAGTTTCGTGTTCTTCGATGAGATCAGGCCCAAGATAGGACCGCTACCATATCAAATTGGCCCAGTTGATAAACATCTCGAATATTGGGCCAGTGAAAAATGGGCCTGCGACTCTCGTCCCGTCCGCAATCTGGGCCATACAAATTGATGGGCTGGCAAAGTCAAAAGAGAGCGATTTTGCTATATATTTGTCGACAAATTTTCTCCCAAAAATTTGACAGATGTAATTATAGTATAATTATAGTGTAATTACACTGTAACTATAGTGTAACTTGTATGTAACTTTCAAAAATCTCTCCGTAATATGTTATTTCGGTAAAATAGAGGTTGTGGAAACAAATTCTTACACATATATGTGTGCTGTGATTTTATTTTTCTTCCTCACCAAAACAAATCTTGTAATAGATTTAAAGATTCAAAATTACATGAAACTTATATACAAGTTACACTGTAGTTACATGCAAGTTATAGTGTAATTACATATAAGTTACAGTGTAATTACACTACGATTGTACTATAATTATATCTGTCAAATTTTTAGGAGAAAATTTATTTAGGTGGTCCCGAAGAGAGAGAGAGAGAAAGAAACCATGGTCGTCGGAGCTGTCTCCTCACACAGTCTCACCATCACCACGCCACCGCCGCCGCATCGCGAGATGCTGCCCGTGGGGTGGTGGTGACGCGGGGGAGCTTGTGCCGGCGGCGGAGGCGCCGATCGACGGGCGCAGTTGCCGAATCCGTGGGGTTGGTGGGCGGTGTTGCTGTGAATTGTGAAAAAACTGACACATAGGCTTCTTATATCCGGTAAAAATCTATTGACGATTCTTTCGCTGATTGTTTGGTGCTCGTTTTCTTGCTCTACGATCCGAGATCCTTGTTTTTTTCTTTCCCTGTTGCACGTTTTCAGTCTGGACTCTGGAGATTGCGGTTGTTGCCGGTGAGCTGCTCGTTCAAATGCCAAGGAAGACTGCGAGTTGCAAGGTGATAAGCATGGGTCTCTCTGCATTTCTTGTTTTTTTTAAGAGCAGATGACATATAATCTCCTTTTAATCAAAGTGGGGAGCTCAGAGCTCTGCATTTTGTGTTGAATCATGCATCTCTGTGATTCTAGCGTTGCATGCTCTCAAGTGTGTCAAGGAATAATACTTCCTCCATTTCACAATGTAAAACTTTCTAGTATTGCTCACATTTATATAAATGATAATGAATCTAGGCATGTATATGTGTCTAGATTCATTAATACCTATATGAATATGGACAATATGAAACAGATGGAGTAGCATTTATGTACAATTCGAACTAGGAAGGGGTACCCCCAATAAAAAAAAAAGCTCAGAGGCTTAAGAAGACAAAAACTGAAGAAGAAGAAGAAGAAGAAGAAGAAGAAGAAGAAGAAGAAGAAGAAGAAGAAGAAGAAGAAGAAGAAGAGGAAGAACTCCAGCGTGGCGCTCTTACAGAAACAGCACTAGGCCAATAATCTTGCTAAATCTTAAGCACTACACATACTCCAGAGGTTGATCTCTGCCCTTGAAGATTCAGCGATTTCTTTCGAACCAGATTTCTCAAGCAATTAGGATCAACCACGGGTCTCCATACCTATCAACAGTGTCAACTCTGTATTTGGCTCTCCTGCCTATCTACGACGTCAAGTCTCCATGATAATCTCTGCACACCATGGATGATTGATGAGTGAATATATATATGATTCAGCTTCAGAAAAGCACCATCCTCAGGTAGTCCTCGAGGACGGGGAGCCTCTGCTCGCCGTCGTGGCCGTGCATGACGCCGACCATCCTGGCGGCATTGAGCGCCGCCTGCGTGAAGCCGGCGGGGAAGGCCCTCCCGGAGAAGAAGCTCTCACGGTTGAGCTTCTCCCACTCCCTGGCGATCATGCCGCGCATGTGCTCCTCCGCTTCGCTGGCGGCGAGCCCCGGGTTCTCCCTGAGGTACAACTCCTTGTATGATCCATCCAACCCTTCCTGTGTTGGAAATTTAGAGGTGTATTTAGTATCAGCATGTGTGGGATTTGGTGTAGTCATGTTGCACCAAGTAATTTGAAACTTTTTAAAGGGATCAAATGGACTTCAGAACAAGGCTATATTTTTTTTTAATCCAGAACAATCTTCTTTGGTGTGTATGCATAGTCAGTCTGTTTAAAACATGAACACAAGAATTCAGATATTGCTGTGTGATATTTTTAGGTGCTATATATGTAGTAATAGGTTTGGCATGGTGAAGAGAAGTTTATTGGGAGGTGTTCTGACCTTGGCGTTGCCTATGTCATCCCAGAGTCTGAAGATTTTTGCTGGGCAGGAGATGACAGGAGGGATGTTGTCAATGAGCTCTGCTGCATCATGCCCTAGCATGAATAATAAGTGTAAAAACATAAGTGGTACTCCTGAAGTGATAACACCATTTCTTAGGTAATCCTCTGAGGAGGGAACATGACTATCGGTCAACCATTTTGCCTCAGTCATTAATCCATCAAACAGCACTGCCCACTGCGGAAGATGGGGTACAAAGTTTTCATCAGTCCTTTTTTTTTCAAAGATCTAGCAAGAGCTGGAATTATATTGTAGACAGAGTGAAAACAGAGTTACATAAGAAATTTACAAGGGCTGATAAAAAGTGAAAAGGCTAAATCACACCATGATTTTTATCAATCTTGGTTGTCAGTTACTGCAAATTCTTTGTGAGAAAATAAATTGTAACACAGCAGGAATTAGAAATGGCATGTTTATTTGTTATGACATACAGCTTTCTTCAAATGATTGATAGGGTTTACTCCGTGTTCTCTCTCGACCATATCTGCGATATCATTTGTAACAGTGTAAATAGCCCTGTAGCATGACCTCATGCAGCTAGGCAAGGAATCAGCAGCTGCAAAGTCCCACCTGTAAAATGGGTGCATTAATTATTAGTTGTTACATGTAACCATATATGTACCTTACCAGTCCAAATCTAATGTAACCTGAATCTACTAGGACGATGTTTAGGATTGTTATCTTGAATTCAGTCTTACATTTTGATTGCCTGTGTGAAGCAGGAGCGCTCCTCTTGTGTGCTGACAAGATCAAAGATGTCATCCATAATGTAGACAAAGGAGGCGATCTTTGTGAGCTCAATCCGGTATCTGGAGAAGGAAGCACCCTGGAAGGCCGTCATTATCCAGACGTACCATTTCTGCACCTGGTCCCTGGCAACTGGTATTTCCTGAGCCAATCCCAAGTTCATCCACCATCTGCATCACGTGATTTGGAGACACTAAGTTTGAAATTTTCTTGCAAATTTACTATGAATCGATCACTGCTGTTAAAATGGTCATGATAAGGAAATACAAAAGTAGCTATTTAAAATCCACAGAGATCACTATAGAAGTACTCATTTTATATATATTAGGGATTTGCTACTCCATTAGTAGTTGCAATCTTGCCATTTATGTGTGTGACATGGAGAACCAGAACCCACATGTCATAGATACATAGGGTGGAAAATCGTAGATCATTAGGCTTAGTTATTTTCATATCATTTACCAGATTTTTGAATGGATTATTTTCTCCACGCTTTGAAAAATACATTTTCTCAAAAAAAAAAAACCTTCCACTGTATTGCTTAATCTACTTATTTTAAGTTATATGTTAAGTTTATTTATCAAAATATTTATTTTTCCCCATAACCAAGATAAATATTTATTTATCTTCCACTGTATTGCTTAAGCTACTTATTTTAAGTTATATGTTAAGTTCATTTATCAAAATGATAATCCACAGCAACAATCGCCTCAATAATCTGTTTCAAACTGAGCCAAAAGCCATAAATCCTTAAACTTTTCCATTTTATATATGTATTTATATAATACCTTTTGATCTCCTGCATTTCCATCTGATGCAGCAGCTTGTTCAGCTTGAAGTTTGCAAGAGCAAGCTCTTCCATTGCAGTGCACCTGGTGGGCAAGGTCTGCAGGTAGCTGAGGTGGTGCCTGGCCTTGTACTGCATCAAGCTGACATGGTAGGGATGTTCCAGTGACTGCCTCACATATCTTGCAAGGCCTGGCTCTAAGTAATCGATGGCAGATTGAAGGTTTCTGCTTGTGAACTCCTTTGCCTTGTAGAGTGAGGCCTCTGCTCCTATGTTCATGTGTGATATGTCTTGCAGGCTGAGTAGCCCTCTGATGTCCTTGCTGTAAGCCATGCTGAAATCGCCATTTCCATCTGTGAATCTTCCAAGAACCTCATCTGCACAGGTAATTATCACAAATCTTTTCTAATTAAACCTGGTTAAATTAAACTACTCCCTCCGTTTCTAAATATTTGACACCGTTGACTTTTTAACACATGTTTGACCGTTCGTCTTATTCAAAAACTTTTGTGAAATATGTAAAACTATATGTATACATATAAGCATATTTAACAATGAATCAAATGATAGAAAAATAATTAATAATTACTTAAATTTTTTGAATAAGACAAACGGTCAAAAATATTTAAAAAAATCAACGATGTCAAATACTTAGAAACTGAGGGAGTAGTTGATTAGTCATTGTTTGTCATGATCAGTATGTGTGACCTGGTGATACATGGTGTCCTGCTTCTCTCATCAGCCGGAACGCGAGGGTGGCATCGAGCAGGTCGCCGCCATGGGCGAGCTCCTCGAGGTGGGCATCCATGGCGCCGTCGACCTCGTCCTGGAAGTAGTGGTCGATGCAGAGGCGCTTCAGGTGGTCGACGGTGGCCATCCTCTCCCGGGCGCCGCCGCCGCCGCCGCTCGCCGTACTACTCCTCTGACGCCGCCGTTGATGCAGCAGCATCTCCTGCACGTCGTTCGTCAGGCCATCCAGGCGCTCCATGAAGCCCTGCAAATGCATGCATTTCCCAAACACAAGCGGTTAGAGAGCCAGAATTCACAATCTCGATTCTCGACGAATTTCAATCATTTCTAAAGGTCTTATCCGAAATTTAGATGGAAATGGTGGGTTGCTCGCACTGCATGAAACTCGTGTATATTTGTAGGGAAGCCCAAGCTTCTTAATTTCGTCGTCCTCTTTGTCTACCACGTACGGCGTCTTCGCCGTCAGCATCGTCTCTCCTCGACTACGTACGCATGTTTCTTCCCAGCGACGAATATACATAATACAACCGTATCCTCTGACATGACATTACACGGTGTGACATTCCTTCAATCCACACCATCCATTCTAAATCAACAGGCCATCTCGAATTCTCGATCTACGCTAGCTAGCTGTTCCACAAGCTGCAACGGCGGAGCCAGAAACCCTAAAAATATTATGTTGGAGGGGGATAATAATATGTTATTCTCTTCGTTTCAAACTATAAGTCGTTTTGACTTCAGTCAAAATCAAACTGTTTCAAATTTAATCAAGTTTGTAAAAAAAATTAATAATATTTTCAACACAAGATAAATATATTATGAAACTATATTTAATTATTGATTTAATAATAAAACTAATTTGGCATTGTATATATTACAATATTGAGTTAATTGGATGCATGCCATTATAAATTTACCTGTTTTGAGATATACCATTACTATTCACGAAATTGGAACCATGCCACTATAATTTAACATGTGTTTGAGATGTGCCACTACATACCCTTTCAATGCGGAACCGGCTCCTCTGACTTAGTGCTCCAACGTCAGAGACGAACAGTAACCCGAGTCACGCGCTACTGTTCACGGTTACTGTTTAGATGTTACTGTAGATTACTGTAGCACTCAATCTCATTCGCTCATTACAGATCGGACAGCTGAAAATAACTCACGTCAGAGTACTGTACACCTCTGACGTGAAAACATCTAAGTCAGAGGATCTCATTCCTTTTAATACAAATTCCAAGTTTTCGGACCAAACTATCCTCGTCTTCTTCCTTCATTCCCCTTTCTTTCTCTCCTCTCACCTCTGGCATGCATCGGTAGTTGCCATAAGACCAGGGATGGTCGTCAATGGCGATAAGCTCGGCGGAGGGAGCGGATCCGGAGCTCCACCGTAGTTGTTGCTGCTGCTCGAGCTCCAGTGGCCAGCACAGTGTCATGGCGATGCGCGCGTGAAGTGCCAGCCATCGGACCGAATTCCTTGGCCACGGCGCATCGTCGTCGCCTGCGCTTCAGCCACCCACCGGCCTATACGCATGCAACAGCGCTAGCAACTACGGCCCATACATGCCACCACCTCCTTAATGTGCTAGCAGCAAGCAGAAGCTCTGGATCAGCTCCGTATCAGCAGCTCCATCAGTGCTAGCAACGTGTAAATGCAGTATTCAACGAGATAATTTAGACCCACAATAGTACGATATTTGGACCGATGTCATGTCAAACTAGCAAAATCAGCAACAATGATTTTGCAGCAGTAGCAGGTCAAGGAGAAATGATTCAGTTTTGCTGGAGGTGAGAGGAGAGAAAGAGAGGGGAATGAAGGAGAGGATGGAGGAAGAAGATGGGGGCAGTTTGGTCCCAAAATCTTAGAATTTGCATTGAAAGGGTATGTAGGGCCTGTTTTGGGGAGCTTTAGATTTTGAGAAGAAGCTGTTTGGTAGCCAGCTTCTGAGAATTTGGAAAAGCTCTAAAACCCAACCCAGCTTCTCCAGCTTATGGCTTCTTAGTTCATTTTTCAGAATCTGTAACTATAGATTCTTAGAAGCTGTGGACTGTTTGGAACAACTTATAGCAGAAGCAGCTTTTGGAAAAAGCTATAGCTGGAAGAAGCTCCCCCAAACAGGGCCGTAGTGACACATCTCAAACACATGTTAAAATATAGTGGCATGGTTCTAATTTCGCAAATAGTAATGGCATATCTCAAAACTGGTAATTTTACAATGGCATGGATCCAATTAACCCTATAATATTTGCCTACAAAATTTGTTAAACTTGGAAGTTATAATCTAAAACTGAGGGAGTAGTTCTTTTAAAATTTGCTAAAGCTACATCTCTACTATTATAAAAGTTAAAGATGTTTTTTCAATTTCGTACATCACTCACTAATCCGATTCAATTGCTCGCGTCGAATTTTAGTATGTCATTCGTGTTTGAATCGATTTTAATCCTTTGCTTTTTTTTTCTATTTGTTTGGTACATCGTCGTTCAATTCCGATTCCAATTCATGTTTTGTTAGTAGGTACCGTCACGCCTAGCGGGTCATTCCTTTGGGCCCGATCAGTGATCTTTCTCTTTTTTTTTTCCTATTTTGTCCATATGCTCCACATGCATAGTGATCATACATCTAGGTTTGTCCAACTGACACCGCAGCTATTTGTTTCAATTAGCAAAAAATTACATTAGCACTTTCTGTTGGTTGATTTTCTTCCGATCCCGTTTCCGTAACAAACGAGTTCTATTTGTATGGGAGGGGAGACACGCGCATCACGCTAGCTAGCTATTGCTGTGATATATATGTTTCTTCCATCTCCGTGTTTCCTTATCTGACGACTACAGATGTAGCCCGCGCCACAGCTCCGTCACCCACTCAATGCAGCACGGTGCGTAAAGGCCTGATCGCTGCGTGTGGCAAGGGGTGTGTGAAAAGGAGCGGGTCCAATTAATTCGTCCGCGTCTCGGATAAGAGGGACACTCTGGCATAAGAAAAAAGAAAAACATTTAACAGAAACATAAAATTAAAACTGATTCAAACACGGTATCAATTTTTTAAATTGGCTCTACCCGTTGCAACGCACGGACATCTTTTCTAGTATAGTGTAAAAATCAAAGACATAAGGGGAGGCCAAGCCACTGCTCGCCTCCCTCCTCTCTCTCACCGCCTCAAGTTGTGAGCCTTTGACCGTCTTAGAGACCTATTTGGTTTAGTCGCTCTAACACCGTTTATACAATATCCGTAACAGTATTATGTAAGTTTATTTCAATTGGATCATGGGTAATACCATATATCTGCTAAGAATACTTATTCTCAAACAGTTCCATCCATATTACCTTAATTAGAGTTATCATTCTTAATTACTGTCAGTATATTGATAGAGTCATCATCCTCGCTAGCTCACAGCCACATTGCCAGATTGCCTCTCATGCTTCTTTTGTTTCATGTGCGGGTCCCTCATTATCAACTCCTAGCTAAAGTTCGACTACACAAACCACAACTACCTTATGAACGACATCCTGATCATGGCTATTTTTCGCCCTTCGCTCATGTTTACCCACCCTCGTAGCTCAGTTTCATCTTCTAAACTACGGAGACAAAACGCATATCCTATTTTTGAAATAATAATAACATTTGAGTACGGCTATTGATTTCCCACATAAACGTGTGTGACATCTGATAACACCAACTAATATAGTCTTTAAAGGATATAAGTAGTACTAAAATTTTATTGTAATATTTAGTACATTATGATCTATACCTGATGTATCAAGATGTACCAAATTATAAGAAAAGAATACCTCTATGAATTTAATAACCATAAAATCACACAATAAAAAAATAGTACCACGGTAGTACGCATGATACATTGATATACCCACATCTGTATTTCTGTTTGTCACATGAATGGGAGTGGATTATACTGTTAACTCCATTTCTAGTATATGCGATATGCAACCTTTTTAACTATGTACTTAGCCCCTCAAATAATCTAATCTAAAATTAGTTTCTATGGAAATTTGAACTCAGGATTTTTGGGTGCTACTCAGGTCACTGCAATCACTAGCCTACGTGGTTTTTTTTGCATGCATATCTATATATGTATGACCTATCTAAGCATCAGACAAGACGAAACAGACGGCTATAACAAAGACCAAAAGCAAAGAATGCAGGTGTGTGTTGCATACAAGCATGGAGTCTTTATAATGGTAGTGGAGATACTCCAGAGCTTGCGGCGGGATTTTAGAAATCCTTCTAAAACACACTTAAAAACAACATATAGAATTAAAAGGGAGACAATAAAATGTTCGATGCATATAAAGGTATAATTAATTTAGAACGGTTAGCATACACAATAAATTTATGGTTATAATATGATTAAGCATGGAAGCAATTAATATGATTAATGTGGCTCAACACATGCCAACTGGGTCTAGGAATTAATAGTAGATTCTCATGTGACATACACTACTACAGAAAGGCTCTGTACATGCGGACGAAGAGGATCTTTGCCCCAACCGCATGGAGGAGAAGGTCTGCAAAAATCGCTCTTTTTACATACGGCCGGCGCAACCGTATACGAAGATCCTATTTTCGCATGCGGTCACTTATACCGGCCGCATGCAAAAATAAATTCGGCAAACAAAAAAAATAAAATCCAAAAAACCCCCAAACCCTAGCCCGCCGCCGGATCCGTCGCCCCGCCGCACGCTGTCGCCGGATCCGTCGGCGACGGCACCGAATCGGCGTTGGGCAGCGCCGCCCGAGGCGGCCGAGCCACCCCCGCCGCCGTGGCGTTGAGGAGGGGGGATGCGCCGCGCCGTCGAGGAAGGGAGGCCGCCGCCACCGGTGCCGAGCCCGCAGCGCGCCCGCCGTCCAGACCCGCCGCCCGCCGCCGTCGTCGTCGTCATCGCCGTGCCCGCTGCCGTCGAGGAAGAGAGCGCCGCGTATGGAGGTCGGGGAAGGCCGCCGCCGCTATTGCAAAGCCCGCCGCGCGCTGCCGCGCCGGATGGGAGATCGGGGAAGGGAGGCCGCCGCCGTTGCCGAGCCCGCCGCAACCGGTGCCGCGCCGCACCGCCGCTCCTGCATGCTCGGTGCGTTGAGAGAGAGAGAGAAAGAGGAGAGGAGGAAAGAGTTAGGAAAAGGAGAGGCTGAGAAAAGGATAAGGATGGGGAGTTAAAATATCCGATAGGAGGAGAGAGAGAAGAGGAGATAAAAAAATTTGAAAGGAGGTGGTGGGAAAAAATTAATTTTAAAATATTAAAACTTCGAATCAAATTTTATCTATATAAATGAACTCATGTGAAAAAGTTGTAAAAACAAAATTGTAGAACTCATTGAGATCTATCAATTTTATTTTGGTCATTTCTCCATCCGAGTTTTATTGAACTATATAAAACTTGAATTTTAAAATATAAGAAATTCAAAT